CCATACTTAATTGAATGAGGCCCAGATGAACATCCTGATTCTCTCTTTAAAGCATGGTTTTCTCTGAATCTCTTGGCAGGACAGTAGGGAGGGTCAACTGTTCTTGCTGAGTTTTTTTCTTAATTAACACCTTAAAATCAATATCCTGTGAAAGCAGCTGCTGGTTGGTGAGACTTCGGTTCCCTTCACTAAACACAGACAAATCGCACCCACTCCTGTTCAGAACCCGGCGGTGGCTCCCGGTCCACTCAGAGGAAAGCCCGCGTTCCAGCTGATGGCCCCCCCTTTTCAGCTTTATGTCCTCCCATCTTTCACTCTGTCTTCTCCACTCAGTTCACCTCCTCCTTCACGCTCCAACACGTTTATGCTGAGAAAAAATCACCCCGCACGTGCCTTATTTCATTCTAACATGCCATCACACATTACTGTTGTTGCCTGGTTCATTTTCCAACTCCCCACCAGCATGTGGAATGGGATTCTGTCTGTTCTGTTTCACAGTCACTATTCCTAGTGCTCAGAACAGCGTCAGGAAGATGGTGAGGACTCGGTTCACGTTTCTGCTAAATGAGTATTAAAATCACACAGGTGATAATGGTTAAAAAGGTGAAATACGGAGTGTTATGACCTCCCGTGACTAGCTTTCTGATCTGGACGAAGGACCAGGAAAAACTTTCCTGAAGAAGGACGTCTAACAGCGAATGAGTCCGGGCTAACCTAGAGCTCGCCAGGGGGCAGGCATAACGGATCCCAGGAGAGGACACAGCCTGTGCATAGTCCAGGAGGCGGGAAAGTTGTGTGACGTGAGGAAGTTCAGCTGCCCCATTTGGGCGATGAAATGACCCAAAACCCCCGAAGTGCCCAGGACACGGTGAATGCTAAAAATATCAGGCGAGCTGTTGCCTTTATCACACTCCTGTGGGCACACACGCAGGCTCTGCCCACTTGGAAAGGGCAGTAACAAAAGAACAGTACGGTCCCCTCCTTGCCACACAAGCAACTCCTGACACCAGGCCTTGGTTGCAGCTCGACTGGGGCGTAGGTGACACACAATGAGCCACACAGATGTACGCTGTCCAGCCTGACGAGTGCTGAGATGGAAACACACGCCACGTGTGTCCTTTCCGCCCCACAGTTCCCACGTGCCGTTGTGACCCCTCCCCCTGCACTGCAGCCTCCTCACAGTCCTCAGGCCCTCATTCAACGTTTGTCCTCGTCAACAGGTTAGTTTGCATTTTTTAAATTTTATATAAGTGGAATTACACAGTATGCTTTCCTCTCTTATCTGGCTTCTTTCGTTCATCCTAATTATTTTATGAGGTGGAATTCACATAACAAAAAATTCATCATTTTACATCGTGAACAATTCAGTGGCATTTAGCGTCGTCACAGTGCTGTGCGGCCACCACATCTACCTAGTACTAAACCATTCTCAACGCCCCAGGTAAAACCCCGTGCTCCCCAGTCCCCCATCCCCTAACTCCTGGCAATACCAGTGTGAATTCTGTCTCCTTATGCCCCTTGTCCAGCGCCCATGTCCCCTGCCAGCTTGTACATCTGGTGCTCCCTCCCGTCCCAATGCCAGGGCACCCATCTGGGTCTTCAAGAACCGCGTCCGTTGTCCCCGTGCTGTGTCTCACCCTCACGCCCAACCGAGTCTGGGAGGATGGCACCCCCACTTCACCACACCTCCCAGGGGCTCCTCCCTAAACAGATAGGTCAGCCCCTCACTCACATTCCTCACCTCAATCCTGAGATTCAAAAAAGCCCTCCTGCATGGCACCTCTAGGTCCCCTGGAACCCCTATAATGCCTAAACCCCCCAAACTTTCCAGGCTTCACAGTTTCTTATCCTGACTCTGAGCCGACCCCATCTCTCCATGGACCCACTCCACACCTTGAAAGGAGTAAAGATGTTTGGTGGGTATGTATCTCTGCCATGCTGTATGAACTTGAGTCAGTTACTTAACTTCTCTGGAATGTAGTTTTCTGGAATGTAGGAAAGTGGTGTAGGGGCCGCTTCGAGTAGTCACATGGACTCTAGTCCCGTGCAAGCTGGGGCCTGGGGCAGGACTCGGAAGACTTGGCTGGAACACTGCTAATGCGGTTGATAGTCAGGACTCAATAATAACCCCAAGGGACCCCTGGGGAAATCAGGCCCAGAAGCAAATTACACTCAGTGAAGCAGGCTTTGTTTCTCCCTCGAGCTCTGTTAATCTTATACCAGATAACCAGCTCGAGGCTGCGAAAGAAATTTACAAAATTCCTGGACCCTGACCCAAATCCCAGCTGGCGCCAAAAGGCTTGCTCATCTTGGACCAAAGCAGTTCGGTGTGTTCCTGCCATTGTCTTTCTTAAACAACACCTATTCACTGTAAGCTTAAGTTACTGATAGAATTAGATTACCTATGCATTCCTGCTACCTATCCCCCTCCTGTAACCCTCAATAAACACCACTGAGCACAGGGGCTCGGGGCATTCTCCTTTAGAGAGAATTGCCTTCCCCTTTCTTGGACAGCCCAGTGGTGTTTGGAACGATTCATTCCTTCATCTGCGGCAAACTGTGGGTCTTCGCCGGCCAGAGGCAGCTGTAACTGGGCAATTAGTAAGATCCCCCTTGTAGTTGTGGGCATGAATCAGTGAGTTGAAATATACAAAGTGCTTGGACTACAGCTTGGACAGAGTAAGGGTTTATAATACTAGCTATTTTTATTTTGTGTTGAGAATCCACTTTGGGTTTTCTGTAGATAATCCTCCAGTCATGACATGCAGATAATCCTACACCCAACATACAGAGGAGAAGGATGAAGTTAGAGAGCAGAGGTGAAAGTCCTGAGACTCCATAGTTAGGGGGCAGCAGAATCAGGCCAGGAAGCCAACAGAACTTTACGCCAGGGACTGTCAGGCCGTTTGCAAAACAGCACCACACCCAGCCTTTGCAGCGCCCTGGGAACGACGCAGGGCTCCCAGGAGGGCTGCCTTAATCTCCTGGCTCAGCCCGCCTGGCCGGGCCCCTGCCAGCCTTTCCACTCCTGTCTTCTGCACTCCCCCTTCCGCCGCGGCAGCCCAGGCCTGCTTTCTTTCTAACCCTCACAAAAGCCAAGCTTGATCCCACCTCAGGGCCTTTGCAAACGCTCTCCCCTCTGCCTGGAACACTCTTCCCACCTGTCTTTCCATGGCAGGCTCTTTCTTTTTAACTGTGCCCTCAACTCAGTGGTCACCTCCTCAGGTTGGCCCTCTCTGCTCCCAGTTCATTCACTTACTTTCACATCAGTGTCCCGCACCCAGCGCCACCTAACATTTTGTGTGTGTGTGTTCATGTGTTTGTTTAGTGTCTGTCTGTCTCACTAGGCTGTGAGCTCAACCAAAGCAGGGCCCTTACTCTTGTTGATATTCTTGTATCCCCAGCGGTGAGACCATGCCTGGCACAAAGTTCAGCTGCAGTAAATATTTGTTTACTAAAACAAGACATTTAATGGATGACCTATGACCCTATGTGCACCTTTGCTCACCTTCCTTCCCCTCTTCCTACAGGGACCCTGCTTCAGGCCACGCACAACTTCAGAGGGCGCCACTCATACAACAACAATGTGAATCCTTGGGAAGGCAGAGTGCCTCAGAAGTGTACAGCTTTCACAAGTGAGGGCTATCTTTCCCTCTTCCTCTTTCACTCATTCATTCAGTCAGTAAATTTCCATTGAGCACCCACGATATGCCAAGGTAGTGGTTCAGACTCTGTGGGAGAAAAGAGAAACACCTGTGTCTGTGTGGCACATCTGAAAGTTGCAAACAAAATGAAGAGAGCATAAAAATGTCAAAAATACACACAGCATTGTGAGTCACACATTCACTTGTCTTTCTCCTCTACTCTTGTTCTTATCCATTCTTCTCTTCCTTCGCAGCCTCTGCATTCCCTGACCTAAGCTCCATACCCTTTCCCGTCTCCCTCCTACCCAGGGGGTTAGAAGTGATTTGTGCACACCTGCAAAGCCTGTTGTTAGATATTCAGGATTTGGCAAATTGGTCGTTAAACTGTTGGTGACATCAGAGTCAGATGTGGCAGGAGTATTGGCACCTCAGTATTAAGCCATCATTATGAGACAAGATTTGTTGAGCTGTTTTTCTGAGAAGCTGCTTTTTTCGCACAGCGCTGTTCCCATCACTCCAGCAGAGAAACTGCTTTGTCAAGGAATATCCTAGTTCTTTCCTAGCTGTTTACTGTCCCTCTGCCGTACCTCAGCCCCATCCTTGGCAGCAGGAACTGGGGACTCTACACCAGTGTTGTGCTGGGAGGGGAGAGAACAGAAGGAGGATCAGAATCTGAATCCGAAGGAGAAGGAGAAGAAGCAAGAGGAAGGTCATGAAAAAAAGAAATAAAAGGGAAAGCCCTACTGGAAGGAAAGGGAAAGAAAAGAGAGGTATAAATCTGTGGCAGGCAGGTTTAGGGAAGAAAAGCCATAGGGACCAGCCAAGACCCATGGCTCCATGTCCTCACGGGCAGTTGGGCCATTTCCCCACCTGGGCCAGAAGGCGGCCAGGTTGCCAGGAAAAATGAGGAAACTGCCTTCAGAAACTACCCTGGAACAAGGAGGGGGTGGGGGACTGCACAGCTGGGCTCAGGAGGAAAGAGGGCTGGGGGTCTGGATCAACAGAAGCTGGGGGTCAGGGTGCTTCCGTTTTTAACTGTTGTGAGGTCTGGAGTCTGGACTCCTGGGTCTGCGGGAGGATGGGGCTAGCAGGGTGAACTTCTGAGTCATAAAAAGAGGAAGAGCTTGGGTTTCTTGGCTTTTATGCTGGTGAGATTACAAAAAGGGTCTGAGGGAGGAGAAAGGACTCAGGTTTCTCAACCTTTACGCTGGTGAGAATCAGAGGCTAGGCCCAGGCCTCCTTCAGCAAGGCCCTCCGCTCCCCACCCTTCCCCGGCTGCCTGGGTGAGGAGAGGTATAAAGGGGCTCAGTCTCCTGGGAGAAAGAGCAGGAGCGAGCAGTTGCTGCTGCCTTGACCATGAGCCCGGCCCTGCTGCCAGCCCTCCTGGGCCTCACCCTGGTGCTGCCCGGTAAGTGCAGACCCCGCCTTCGGGGGGGGGGGGGATTTCCTGGGAGGGTGGGCTAAGGTGGATTTCCTGTTCTCGTCTCAGGAGCACAGGCCCTGACCTGTCACTCAGGATCAGCAATGGCTGTGAGGGAGGCAACAGAACTGCCCTTGACGTGGACCGTTGGCGAGGAGGACTGCAGGGAGGGCTGGGGCTGCCAGGACACGGTGATGCTCCTAGAGAATGGTGAGGGGGGCCCCACAGACCCCAAGCGTGACCGCCACCCTCACCTGTGCAGGCATCGCCCTCCTCCTGACCCGTCCTGCCTGCCTTCTGTGTGGAGACTCAGGAGACCCCCTCCCTCCTACCAGGAGCTGTCCCCGCCTCCACAGGAGGATCCCCCGGGAGCCCAGGCACCTCCTCCCCAGCTCCCACCCCATCCACAGACCCTCCCTCTAGGCCCCGGAGTCCTGATCCTCACCCGGCCCCTCCTCTGTCATCCAGGACCCCTGGTGCTCCTAGTGATCACCAAGGGCTGTACCCAGGAGGAGGACCAAGAGGCCCGTGTCACCCAGCACTGGGCCACCCCTGGCCTGTCCATTGTCTCCTACACCCGTGTGTGTCGCCGTGAGGACCTCTGCAATGACCTCTCCAGCACCCGCTCTCTCTCGACCCCACCTCTTCCTACATGTGAGACAAATGGGGAGAGAAGGAGGGGGAGGGAAGAGGGGCTGCGGGGAGGAGGGGAGCAGAGAGGGACTGTTCCCTTAGACCCCACCCTGCCACCCGGCCTGTGCCCACTCCCCAGGACTCCTCCCCCGCCCCCCCCAGCGCAGCTTCCTCTCACAGGCCTGGGCAGCCCCCAGGGCTGCACCTCCGACCCTGGCGATGGCTGGGACCTGGGCCACGCTCCCTTGTCTGTGCTGTTGGGATTGGTTCACTTGTGTTCATTTAAGGTTTTGGTATTTCCTCTTCCAAAGTGAACTTGGCCTGGAACTTTTCACTATCCTTGTCTGTATCTTAAAGTGGATTTGGGGTGATGCTCTGCCGTCTCTTCCCTTTGGGGCATCCTCTTTGTCTGGACTATATAGTGGAAGTTGTGAGTGAACTCTGTCCTGTGTCTTGTCAAGGCACCCGTTCTGTGCCTCTCCCCAGTGCCCCTCCCCAGTCTCATGTCCTCCCTTGCTCTTTCTCCATCCACATGACCTCAGTTTCCTGCACCCCAGGCCTACAGGAGAGAAACCTGAGCAGGGCAAGTCCAGAGAGACTGAGGAGGTTTATTGCAGAGGTCAGAAAGGGAGGGTGGGTAGAAGGCACCAGATCCAAATGCAGTGGCAGCTCAGTCTTCCCTTCCTCCCTTCACCTCCCAGTCCCAGGGACCGTGCGGTGCCCAGTCTGCTTGTCTACGGAAGGTTGTGAAACTGCGCCCGAGGTGACCTGCCCCGTCGGGCACACGCATTGTTACAACGGGATCCTGCAGCTCAGGGGAGGTGAGCTGGGACATCGGGTCCCTGCCGGCGCTGAAGGCAGGGAGGGTAGCTGAGACCGGGGGCTTGGAGGACGGTGGGTCTGGCTCCTCAGGGTTGGATGCTCCCAGCAGTGGCATCTCACCCTGTCTCTCTGCTGGGCCCCTCCCCACAGGGGGCATCGATGCCAAACTGAGAGTCCAAGGATGCATGTCCCAAGCAGCCTGCAACCTGCTCAATGAGACTCGGGGTATCGGGCCTTTGTCTGTGAGTGAAAAATGTACTACTAACGGTGAGTCTATATCCTTAAGACAAGGCTGTGCCCGGCCCTGCAGCCTTGGGATACAATGACCCTTGTGAAAGTCTAGCATCCAACACATCCCACAAACACTAGCTCTACGAGCAATTTAGAAGTTTATTACTCATTGAGGCATGTATAATGTGAGAGATTGTCCTGGTAGGTGCTTTGGGGTGAGGATGCCAGTACGCAGGGTCCAGCTGAAGCGGGGAGAGAGGACGCGTCATCCAGGGGACAAATACAGGACAGGAACTCACTGATGGATATTTTAAATGACGTTGGGATTGGCCGACTAAGTGAGGGTAGACTGTATATGTGGGAGGGAGTGGGGAGCAGGGGGAGATGTCAAGTGTCATACGCGGCTGGCTGCTTCGCATTCCGCTTTATTCATTGCTTGGGGAAGTAGGTGCAGAGTGCCTGGCTCTCCTGCTGGGAGAGACTCATTGCCTTCAGCTGTATTCTCCCACCCTTGTGACCTGGGGTAGCCATGAGTCTCTTATCTCTTCTCAACCACTCTACTTACCCACCCTCACCCATCCCCCACCCATGGCACTAGAGCACCCCAGCAGCCTAGGAAGAAAAGTCAGAGAGAAAACCGAGGGTGCTACAGGTGTGACTGGGACAGCAGGAGCCAAGCAGGGACATTGTGGGGGTGTCCCCACTCACCCACACAGATGCAGCCTGACCGTGCACTGGGCAGACTCACTATGGGCTGGAGTGTCTCAGTGAGAAGCACAGGAGGCTGGGAGGGGACTGGGGACTTAGCAGAGCGGGAAGAGGGCCTTCCTGTCCGAACCTCAGTTTCCTTATCCGCCCACAGCACCCAGCCCTTAAGCCTTCCAGGGGAATGTTGAGTGGATTCAGCAGAGTCCTCCGTGCTGGGACCCCTCCGGGGAGGCTGGGAGCCTTAGGCACAGGGCCTGGGTGTCACCGACACCGAGGTTTCCTGCCTGAGGCAACAGGAGGGCCAGCTCAGGACGAGAAGTGCAGGATTCCGAGGTCTCCCTCGGAGGCTGCAGAGGACTCCGGCCCTGGCCCTGCCCTCAAGGGCCTCCAGGACGGGGAGCTGAGACATCGCAGAGGCAGATGGTCACAGGGCTGTGGGGAGGGGGTCGGGGCGCTCCGAGGGGGAGAAGAGTAATGTCCCAAGGGTGGGGCACCGAGGAGGGCTTCACAGGGGAGGTGACCTATGCGCCGAGTCTTAAAGATTAGCTGCAGTTTATTAGCAGAAGAGGAAGAGGACGTGAACAAGCAGAGGAGGCAGCATGTGCAAAGGCCCGGCCCTGGGAATAAGCGTCCTGTTTTCAGACAGGGCTCCCCGGCTCCGCCTGAGAAGGTCTCGTCAAGAGGACGGGTGCTGCTGGGCCTGGGGAGTGATTGCCCGTTTTCAGGTGGACAAGGTGGGCGTGGGTGACCTCAGCAGAGCTATTCCAGCAGCAGGATCAGGGGTGCAAGGCCAGGGAGGCCGGGCATGGCCTGGTGTGTGTTGGGATGGGTGTTGGTGCGGGAGTGGGCAGGGAGGCTGGGGTCCGGGAGCTGGGGGCATGGAGCAGCCACAAAGCCAGACTGAAGGGCTGGCCTTTCTCCTGGGGCAACGGAGGCTTGGGAAGGTACTGACCATGGAGGGACAGTGTGAGTCCCTCCTTTTGGTTGATTCTGTTTTATTGTCTGGCCCTCATCCCTGGGACTACGTCACATTCATAATCCAGAAGGCGTTCCTGAAACAAATCCAGTGTAATCCACGCAACATTCCATACCACACAGACACACAGCACACAATTGACAAAATAGACAGAACCAGACTCACCATGCTACATGCATTCCACACCACCACATATTACATTTCCCACATATGCCCCTTACACCTAACACACACCACAAACCTCATATACTACAATAATAAACAACACAAAAAATGACACAACATACCACATGCCAACTACACCACACGTAAACCAAACACGGACACACAAAACTGATACCATGCCACACTCGTGTAATACATGTAACACACACAGAATACACACATACCACACTTCGCATACAAGCAACACTGCACACACCTCACAAACATATCATATACACGCCTCACGCCTCGCACACCCACACACATACACTTTCCCATACACATGACATATGTGCCACATAAAACACAGGGACTGTGCCACAAATGAATAGTCCTAAGACATAAACTTATGGTGTTAGCTTTCAACATTGGAGTCAGATCCTGGGAGATGCGTTTGCCTTCCCGTGTATGGTTTGGTTCAATTCAGCAGTTTACCAAACACTTACTGGGCCATGGCAAGAACAGACGTCAGAAGCTGGGGCACAAGATGTCACGGAGACAGAAGGCCATTCCTGGGTGACAGGCAGCTCCTGTGAAGGCCTGGGGCTGGGAGTGAGCTGGGTGCCAGAGCACAGGTGCCCAAAACAGGCCACAGCAGGAGCCCCTTGAAGGAGAACCAAAGGGCTGGAACGAGAGCGGCCTTGCCTGGCCCCCTGAGGAACTGGGCCGCGGTGCCAGTGAGGGCGGTGGGTCGGCACAGGCAGGGGAGCGCCGCGGCTAAGAGCCGAGGTCTCAGTCAGGGAGATGTGGTCCCTCTCTGGGCTGTGCCCCTGAACCATTTTGGAGGATCCCCTCATGTAGGAGCCTCTTTCAGCAAACCCAAGGAGGGGTGGATGATTCCAGACAGTCGGGAGCAGAGGAGCACATGGGACGGCTGTGGGGCGGGCGGGGGCCTGCTGGGTGTTCCAGGCAGAGCCTAGAGGCCAGTGCAGCTCCAGAAGTGTGCTCAATAGAGAGCAGAGCAGGACATGTGGTTGGAGAGATAGGGCTTTGGGGCCATTTTAAGGACATAAAATTTTGTTCTTAGGAGTGTGGGGACCTATCAGAATTTTCTGAGCAGAGGAGTCACACAGGAATGACCTTACACTTTATGGGTATTCTAAGGCTGCTGAGTGAGAAAGAGAGTAAGTGAGAGGTGGGAGAGGGATAGGGGACCCCCAGGGGACTCAGGATGAAGGAGGTCAGAGTCATCGGGTCTTGGACGCTGGTGGAGTCAGCAGAAGTGGTAGGAATGGCCAGGTTCTGGAGGTGTTCCGCGTCTTGAGCCAACAGGATATCCTGATGGGTGCAACACTGGACATAAGAGATGGAGATTGTTAAGAATGACAGCAATGCTCTCAACTTGAGCAACTGCGAGACAGGAGCTGCTGTTGACCAACATGGGGGCAGGTGGCGGTAGGGAAGCGTCACCCAGGCTGGGAGGAGGGCAGCAGGAGGCATGAAGCTGTGGTGTGTGAAGTGGAGAATGAGCCGTCCTCCTTCATGAGGCCGCCGTGCAGGTTACACATGTTGGCGGATGCTGTGTCATCAGCCCGGAGACCTGCATGATGGGACGTTTCCCTGCTGGTGATGCCTTGGCTTTGAGTGAAGGCCTAGGCTCCTGAGTTTCAGACTGGACTCCCGAGGACCTCAGAGGCCAAAGTAGATGACATGGTCACCAACCACTGCCGTCCCCATGTCCCCAAGGAGCTCAGCTCGGCTAGTTATTAGTGGTGGGACACTGGGAAATCTACTTCACCACTCCTCTGCCCCTGTTTTCCATCCTGAAAACTAGGAGGAGGAGGAAAATCAGACCACCTACTTTGGTGCTCACTGTAAGACAACGAGGTAACCCAGAGGAGAGGGCTCCTTGGGAAGATTAAATGGGTGAATCCATGGAAAGCAGTCACCACAGCTGGGCACACAGTGAATGCTCAGCACACACACTAGGAGTTGGAGGAACTTTGGTTGGAACAGTTAGTGATCTGCTCTGATGTAGTTTGTGTTGATAATAATGGATTCTCCAAGTATGGTGATAGGACAATATGTGCAAGGAAATGGAAGGGTCTCCATCAACGATGGGGACTAAAATGTTGACATGGTCTCAATGATTCACCCCAAAGATTACTTACGAATTAGCCCAAAATGCAACAAAGATACATTCGATTCCAATACAAGCCACTGGGAAAGATGAAACATTGCTCTTGTAGGTTATTGTCAAAAACAATTTAAATGATACCCTTCATATGGAAACACACAAACCCTGTTGTTGGATATTCCAGAAGTGAAGTGGAATGTGGCTCTTGCTGGTGTGGCTTAGTTGGTTCAAGCATCACCTTGAATACCAAGCAGTTGGAGGTTTGATTCCCAGCCATAGCTCATACCTAGACTGTAGATTCCATCTGGAGTCAGGGCGTGTATGGGAGGCAGCCAATTGATGTTTCTCTCTATCTTGTTTCTCTCCCTCTCTCTTCCTCTGTCTCTAAAATGTGAACATATATGTACAAAATCATTGTTCTATTATACTTGTCCCAGTTTCCAGCCTTAGTTCTCCCCTGCCCTGCCAACTCTCTGCTCCCAATTAATCCCCAAAATGTTGTCAATGTCCACGTGTCATTTATACCTATTCTTTGACTACAGCCTTTCTGTTCTTTCCTCCTTTGGCCCCAGCCTCTGGCCCCTGTCAGTCTGTTCCTTGTTTCCACGACTCTGGTTCTATTTTGCTCATTTGTTTGTTTTGTTCATTAGTTTCCTTTATTGTTGAAATCACATAGGATTTGTCTTTCACCACCTGGCTTATTTCACTTAGCATAATACTCTCCAGCTCCATCTGTACTGTGGGGAAAGGCAGAAGTTCCTTCTATCTTTCTGCTGCGTCGTGTTCCATTGTGTAAGTGTACCATGTTTTTTTGACCCCCTCATTTCCTGATGGGCCCTTAGGCTGTTTCCAGCACTTGGCTTTTGTAAATAACGCTATTATGAACATAGGGGTGCAAAAGTTCTTTTGAATTGGCATTTCAGGATTCTTAGGCTATAATCCCAACAGCGAAATTGCTGGGTTAAAAAGCAATTCTATTTTTACTGTTTTTTGGGAAAGTCCACACTATTCACCACAGTGGCTGCACCAGCCTGCAATCCCATCAACATTGCAATAGGGTTCCCCTTTCCA